GACCACATTAAAATCACCTGCAACACACCATGGAAGAGACCACATCTCCTGAACCCCACTAAGCTCCTCCCACAACACAGGCTTGTCATAGTCATCCACCGGCCCATAAACACCAGAGAACGCGCAAGGGAAGCCATCCTCTTCTAACACAAAAGCACAAGACACAGAAAAAACCCCCCTACAAACATCAACCTTACCCATCCATCGCCTATCCCATATAAGAAGGACGCCTCCAAAGGTCCCCACCGAATCCAGCGCCTCCCACTCAACGTACCTACTACCCCAAAGACTCTTAACAACTCTATCCGTCATAGAATCAATCTTCGTTTCTTGGAGACACACCAAATGAACCCCCCATTTCCTCACTGCCATCTTCACTACCTTCCTCTTGCCCGGGTCATTAAGACCATGGACGTTCCAGGAAAGAAGTCGTAGCTTCATGAAAAACCAACAATGCCCCCCTCCCCCTTACCCCTCCCTCCCTCCTTTTCTCCCCCCTTCTCCTTCCCCCCATATGAATCCCATCGTAATTCACATCACAGCGAAGGTTTCTCAGCTCCCTTTCCCTTCTTGAAGAGGAATGAATCTTCTTTTTCCTGTTTCTCCTTCTAGAAAACTGAATCAACACCTCGTCTTTCCCCTCCACTGTAGCCTGAAGAATTGCTAGGGTCTGCTCATAGTTAACTTCGCAAGAGACTCCCAACAGATCACTCATGGCCCCAATATTATTCAAAACCCAGTCCTTGCCAGCGTCATCACAGCCCTGCCTGTCGAGATTATTAGCCATTCCTTCTGGACAAATAACTGCCAAGGGATCAACAATCCCCAAATTGGAGTAACAATCATCCTCCCACGTGATCATGTCAAGGGACCTATCTTGTTCCTCACAGCTCCCATGAACCTCCCCTCTCTCCCTCCTCGACTACATCCAAACAAGTCTTCCAGTCAACCACATTATTTATACCCTGAACATGAGCCTCAGTATAGGAGTCTGAAACACATGAAGACACATCAAGGCGCCTATGTTTCTGTAATTCCTTCACCAAAAAATAAGCAGATTCCTCACTGAGCAAGATACAAATATCCTTTCCCACGCAAACAGTCCTCAAATCTGGCTCGCTTATTGTTGACACCAGTTCATCACCCTTGGGAAGGCACAAATCCACCTGAGACTTATCCAGCCCACTCGCAGCAGACCCAGCCAAAACCAACTGATGAGAAGAAGAATCTGCATCCTCCGGCCCTGCACTGGCATAATCTGAACTCCCATCCACAACCGAATTGACCGCCCCATCCCTTTCTAGCGGTCCAAAAGTCACACACCCCAAAACATCTGTTTCAACAGTATCATTAGCCACCTTAGCCACTGGTGATAATATTTGTTTCTTAATAAAAAACTCATCCCCCACCTCTTTCCTCATCAAAGCAGCAGCAGGAGTAGAGATAGAAGAATCAGTATAGAGGGAGGTCGAAGGAAACTGAGAAAAGGACTTACCTGGTTCAGGAGACACAGTGCGGGCAACCCATTTCTGCTTTTCCTTTCTAGACCATCTTCTCTCAGAATTATTCGACCAAGACGAGTAATAACCGTCATCATTAAATGAAAGTCGACTGCCATTGTCACCCTCAAGAGCCAGCTCCGACTGAAGCATCTCAAATTTGTTCCGAGAAATCAGATTCTGGCAACACTCACCATGTTTAAACGTTTTTGATCTCAAACCCGCCTCCTTGTTGGTCTTCCTACTCACATTAACTCAGTTCTCCTTCTCCAAATTAGACCAAACTCGCGGCATCTCCTTCGTTAAAGGATGACCGTGAGCCTCCCCTTTGTGAGACAGAACAGAGTTAGAGCTGGGCTGAGAATTGGAAACCGAAATGGATAAGGATCTGTTTGGGCCCCAACTCACATTTCTTACCGAATCAGCCTTAATTGATGTAGACCAAAAAAGAATTGGGCCAGCCAACTTGGGCCTATCACGCCCAACTTCGCTGGGAGTCCTCGGCCCACCCTTCCTTAACCCAACAGAAGATGTACGAGACTTGGGCCTGACCTGTCCCGTCCATCCTTCAGCCCCCGAACCCATCTGTGCTGGTCCATGCTTAACAGGCCCACTCCCATCAGGCCCATCAAGACCAAAATTCAACTTACACCTACCCGCACGTGGCTGTTCCTGTTCGCGATTAGCTGTCCTCAACTCACAGCTGGAGGCAGCCATCCACCATCCACCTGTCCCCCCGATAAACTTCCCTCCCATAGTCGCCTCTGGCGCGTGTCTTGCCACCCATCCCTGATCTTGAGTCCAGCGACCCTGCCGATTCGCCCTCTGGACCTCCGGTCCAGTTGCTGCCCCATTATCAGACCTGCGATACGGCCGAATATTTCTACCCATCTTCTCCAGTGACCTTAGAAACTCACAATTATCGCAAGATAAAGAAGCCGTCACGAGGGAAGGAGCAATTTCCTCTGTTAGAGAAATTCGAAAAGTCCACCGTCCGTCCTCCAACAAGAAGAACTCTGGGATCTTACCACCTTTTAACACCGTGATGACGATCCTCTCCGTATCACTCATCTCATATGCCTCGACATCACATAGTCCTCCGCACAAGTCCCCAACAGCGACAAAAAGCTTCTGGCACCAAAGGTGTAGAGGGAGGCCATAAACTATGATTTTCCGAAGATTGAACTTCTTCCTCAACCTTGAGCATCCAACTCTGTAGGACCAATGATCGATAAACAACCGTGCCTCTCCCCAAAATTTCTTCCCTTTATCCAATACCCTCTGTGCCACCATAGTCGACGGGAACTGGAATAACAGAACACCATCAGCCAATGTCAAAATCCTAACCCCACTCGAGATCCGCCTTGGAGGCCCATTCCTCGATCTGTTCCAAAGATCCCACCTCTCTGCCAAACCTTCCAACAAGACAAGATCTGAGCATGGATTCACGAGAAGAGATACTATACTTATCCACCCTGAATACATGATCACGGCAATGATTAAACCGCTCTACCTCCACGTCACCTTTCACATCTCCCTTCTGGATCTTGTGAAGAAACGACAATCACAGTCAACACAGACCCAACAGAGAAAGGAAAACACAAAGGAAAGAAGTAGCAGTGGTTTTCACCGGAGTTTATGACTCCGGTGACTGGTCGGAGTAGAAGACTCCGACCGCATCTCTACCACGGCGAACTTTCTTCTGTTAGATCTGGCTGATCGGAGCAACGACTTGGGACTTTCTCGAAAAAAATTTCCTTATGTAACATAGTATATCAATATATGCTTTTTACTCATTAGTAATAATATAATAAAATTGAATAGTAGTAATTTGATATTTCTTTTAGGTGCACGTCCAACCAAAAATGTTTGGCACATGTTTTTAGGTGCATGTCCAACCCCTAGAGCTAGAATTACCTTTTTCCTTCCCCCAATCAGAATGTCTGATAACTGGCCACCACCGAACTGATTACTGATATCTCCAGCTTCCTCTTCTTCCACTTCCCTCCTTCCCACCCTCGCAAGGTGGGTTTGGTAAAAGCTTTATACAAGGAAGGTGATACTTGATTATCTCATAAACTCGGTTTAGTAGGCAAGAAGACAGTGCAGTTGCCAACAATGTATGGTTTCACAATAGTAAGAAAAGAGAAAACAAAATGTGATTTGTATTATTCTTATTATTTTTAAGTAATATGTTTTCATCAATTAAAAGCAATTCCATTGTGAAGGTCTAGATGAGCAACTTCTATAATCTTTTTAGTTTTCTGTGAGCTATAGGGAGAATGGAATTCAGACTAGAATTATGTATTGCTTTTCAACACAAATGGATGGAGCCTTAAACTTTATAAAAGCAGCTAATAATTGTTCCTCATGCTGCCAATCATCCTAGGATCTAGCTTTTTGATCTTTTATTGAACTCAAAATGATTTTAATCTTGGGAGCTTCAGTGGTGGGCATCAAAATATATTCAGAGTTTCAGTTGGCCAAAGCATGAAATATCTTTCATAGAAGAGGTCTATGGTGGAAGGTCCACATTTCTTGAAACCCGAAGGAAGTTATAGGTTATGAATCGATTGCCTGTTTCAACTTTCTTTTATTTCTTAGAAGTACTATAATATGAATTCAATTTGGTCCTATATCAAATACTTCAACTCTATAGCAGTATCAGTTTCTTCCAGAAGCTGCTTGCTTAGGTTGTCAAAGTCTGTTAGATAAAGCTGTAAAGGTTTCAAATGTCAGATGTAAAGTCTTTAATGTTTCTTGAAAAAGAAAGTTAATTTTGCTATTTCTCCAGTTCTGTGATTCATTTTATTAATTTTAAAAATTATGATTTTATGTTGCAGGCAATTTCATTTTTTAGTGAACTTGAATCTATTTTACAAACAAGCTCTAATTAAGTAGCTACTTTTGGAATGTTCATGGTCCTGTCTAATCATGTCAGTGGATTTCTGTATATCACACTAGTTTCTTTAACATCATAATTTTATCTTTTTATCATAGAAATGCATATTTTCAACATTTTGCATAGTTGCATAGAATATTGATGTGATGGAAAGCAGAGAATAATTTCTGAATACATTCAAAGGCATAAAAAATATGAATATGATCTTCTAGCGTAAATTGTAAAACTATTAATGGTTTTAGTATTTTTGTGTGAGGGAGCATAACTAGTCCAAAACAGATAGGTTGACATTTATGTGAAAATCATTTAGTTAAGGCTGAATGTGTTGAACTGATAAATTTTGGTGGATGTAATTGCACAATCCAACATTAGATGGTCCATTGGCGGGATATATTTACTCCGTTATTTTTATGTAATTTTTTGACACTGTTGTAACTTGTAAATGGGATTATGTTTTCCGAAGTACCTTACATTTTATGTTACTTTAGTTAGCATCTTATCTGCTGCTAAGGCTATATTGTGATTTCTTTTTAATATGCTCAATTTGCAGGGAATGTTGAATGCTTCTCCATTTAACTTACTGATTCTTCTGCTGCCAGGTATTTGGATGGGGACCGTCTTGTAGCTGGCGATGAGAAAGCTGTGGTAGAAAAGCTTCTTGTTTATCATCCTCATGCTGAAGATAAAATTGGATGTGGGCTTGATTCTATTATGGTGAGTTGCAGTTTTGCATAATATTCTGTAGTAATTTCCGGTGTCATTGATTGAACAACTTAAATCTCTTAAATCACTTTATTGCTTCCATGTCAACATAAATTCATGCAAATGTATCCTGGCATCCCACATTCATATCCAATTTACTTTCAGGGTCAACTTAAAAACTCTGCAGGATATAGAACATATCTCAATTCTATGATTTCCCAACTATTGGGGAATTTGGGATAACCATCCATAAGGATTGGTATTCCTTTTCACCATTATGGTTCATCTAGTACCAGATCTTCAGTTGAAACAAAATTGTCTTACCTTCTCTAAGAGTCACCTTACTTTTTTTGTCGCATTCCTCGTCTTTGCTGCAACTTGAACAATGGAATCATTACACTTCTCACTGTTGCAATCAATCTATATGTAATTCATTGCCCATACATATTTAGTTATTTATTGAAATCTCTCTTCTTGTCCTTGGTTGACCCCAGAAGATGAAAAAATATGTGATATACTTTTGCTGTAGTGATATTGCAGTTTGATCCTGTGTGTTGTACAATTGATTTAGATATAAAGGGATGATAATTCCACATAAGTGCAAGTCTACTTCTGGGCCTTGCATGGTTCACTTAGGAATAACTTACCTTTTTTAAAAAATCTAAGGTAAATCAAATTGACACCCCTTGGCAATAATGGGCCTAATTACACCGTCCTCCGGTGTGTGTGCTCAACGATTTTATGACAGATTTGCCTTCCCCTTGACTGAAAATTTGTTGATAGCCTTTTGAGATTCATAAAATTACAATGATACCAAAGTTACATATATATATATATATATATAGATATATGTGAAACGTCTTTGCTTTCTCTCTCTCTCTCTCTCTCTCACTCTGTCTCCTCTCATCTTCATTTCCATCATTAACCTTACCATGTCTCCTCATCTCTCTCTAAACCACCGCAACAATACCACTTCATCCCGTTCAAACCCACAAACTTGTATAGACTTTGTCAACCTCCGACAAACTATGCCTTGCTATCCTTCACCATCATCAGAATCATGCCTCGTCATCTTCATCATCGAAAACTCTCGTGTCGTCCCTTGCTATCGATTGCATGGTTCCACCTTGAGATTAAGCTCACTTGATCATCACTTGATAAGCATTTGGTCGACTAAATTTTAATTTGATTATATGTTATATTTGCAGAGAGCGGTTCCAATTTCCTACAAAAACTCTCTAATACATTTGATAGCGTTAGCTACTGCTGGTTTATATCTGTTGTACTCAAACATTAATTAGATTCAAGTGAGCACTTAATCTCTCTTTCTCTCTCTTTTGGAGTGAGCAGTTAATTTCCTTCAGTAGCTAAATAATTTATTTTCTTCCTCATACTTGGTTTGGTTTTGAAGAAAATGAAGGAAATTTTAAGAGAAATGAATTGTTGAGTGATATGTTTTGTCGCTTTGATCTTCAAAAAAATACAAAAACTCACTTCAAAGAAGCCAACATGTTATTGCTCTCAATTAGGTGGAATTTTTAAGGTTCCTAAGTACTGAAAATTCAAAGTCAAATTTTCTTCCTCTCTACCGCCCCACTTAGAGCCTGTTTGGGATTGCTTTTCAACCACTTGAAAGCGTTTTTATTTTAAAAAATTGCGTTTGATGTGTTTGGTAGCCATTAAAATTTAAAAGCACTTTTAATGGTTACCAATTTTAGATCAGTAGAGCTTTTGAATGAACCACCCAGTCTCGATCCCTCACAATGTTAAATCATATAAATAAAGAATAATGGGTTAAATGGAGTGCTTCTTGCGTATTGTGTGATTAGCATGTACCTCTAAAATTGAAAAGTAATTTTTATAAAACAACTATTAAACCAGTCATACTTTAAGTGAGAGAATGTTAGACAGCTTAGAAATAACATTTTCATAAATGGGTCGATCAATTGCGAATGTTGAGATCGATGTGTGGCAAGACTAAAAAGGATAATAGACATTCGTCAAATGGTTAAAGTAGTACCTTTTTTTTTTTTTGGATTAGTCAATGGTTGAAGTAGTACCTAATGGAGATAAAATGAGAGAATTGCAATTGCTTAAACTGCAAGATATTCTTAAGCCATTCTAAGCGGATGTACTAGTTTGATCGATGTAATGGTAGATTAGGTTAATGGTACGGGTCATTTAGGCTAGGAGGTGATTAATGTAATGGAGAAGCTGAAGGGTTGGGGTTGGATAAGAGCAGGGTGGTCTTGAGAAAGACAAGGCCAGGTGAGTATACCAGTGTTAGGCCCTAAGAGGTTCAATAATTGTCTGCTTGAGCTTATTGTATAGTTCTTTTAGCAATGTGGATGCAAGCTGGGCTGCCAGGTCCACAGCCAAATCACAATGCAGGTCAGGCTACTATCCTGAAGGGCTCACATTATGTGCCTGTGAGCTTGGGCCAGAATTGTGTCAAGAATGGGCAAATTATTGCTAGGGCAGAAGATGCTTTGCACATCACATGCCATGGAGATCATTCCAGCTTAGAGGCATACGGCCACCCTCAATTTGGTCCATGGTGGACGATGCGTAGTCATTGGGCCTTGGCTCTAGCCGCTGCCACCTAGCCAAAACTTCCGAGTACACCATAGTTGGCACCATAATTTGGAGTCATTGTGTTATCAAGCACCGGGTCCTTTAGGGCCTCCTAGCCTCAATCCTAACCTAGGTAAACCTCCTGCATCAGGGTGCATAAATGACCAAGGATATTATCTAGTCCCAGTTGGAACTAGTTCCCTTGTTGTGTAAGCTCTCCTTTAATTGGGAGTTAGGCAAGAGGCACATTGTTTTGATGGGAGCTTAGGCGCTGAGAACCTGCTCTGTTCTCTATGAAATTGCTGGGGATGCATTGGCCAACCTGACATATCGTGAAGGGAGTTTACGAGTGTCAACAGGTTATAGCCAGGAAATCCCCTTACATTTTCAGTTTCACTAGAAATAGACATGATTAGATTGCTTACTAATGCATATGGTTTGACAGACATTCATCATCATCTTTGCTTTTATTCATATGAATGATGTTGGCTACATAAATTCTCTTTTTCTTATGATCAAAATTTTAAAATAATTTCTAATTACTTCATCCCATGTGAGTTGCCTTTTTGTCGTTACCTTCCATGCAAACAAATGTACATTTCTTACCGGTGTATCCAAGGGTTTTACTGGTGCATCCATGGGTCTTCGTTTTACATGATTATATCACCCAAGTCTACTTATCTTATTTTATCACTTTCAGACGTCACTCTTAGTTTTCCCCAAATGTTGATTATTGATAGTATCTTTTCTAGTCACTCTTATCATTCATCTTTAACATTTTCAGTTCTACTACATGAGATATTTTCTTGTTGGATTGATGTATAAGTAAAGTGGAATACCTCATATTATCTTCAGTTTGTTTTGTTTTTTTTTGTTTTTTTCCTCAAGCATGCTCGATTTGTATAATATACCCAGATGACATTATGTTTCTTTGTGAGAATCTGCTGCATCACATGTTATGTTAGTTTCCTACTGGGGCTATTCTTTTTTCTTCTTTAATTAATTTAGTTCTGCCAAAAGTAGCTAGGGTGAAGATAGTTATTCTCTAACAGAAAATGACCCATTTGTAAGGAGATCTGTTTCTCATTTGTAGAGGTATTTTTATATCATGCCTTTGTAATATCGTCTTTTTTGGTGTGTCAAAACACATTTATAATGTCTCATGAATATTAATGATCGACCGTGTGAAACGCAGCCGCAGAAGTGAAGATAGATTGGTTAGTGTCACAATAGTATACATGGGGTGATGTTCCCTTGTCCACACAGCAAGTGGTTGAAGAACAGCTAAGAATTCTATATCTGTAAACCCTATTAATTCTTGATCCTTGTGTTCCTTGTCTTTGAAGGGCTCTCTTTTCGTTTTTATCCTGCTGCAACCACTTTTAACGGAAAGGAATAAATGTGAGAGAGATTGTTCTCAGTAGCTTTTGCTTGTTCTTCTTCACATGTGCCTTAAGCTATAAGGAGACCTGGTTTGTTTCTAGGCCCACATGTATTGGCATGTAGATTGGAAGATAAAACTTTGTTGACTGGAGCCTGCCCTTGCCTCTAGGTTTTATTATCATGGATTCTCTCTTCCCCTTCCTTCTCTTCTTTTGCCTATCTGTTTTCGAGATTGTATTTCAAATTTGAAAGAATTAGTTGACGGCTAAATATTTTGCGCCATATTTCTAGTGTTATCATACTAGGATATAATTAACAGTGTAATTTCCTTCACCTGGAAGGTTTATCAACATTACTGTTGTATTATTAGTTGACTGACATGCTTTTAAACTACTTTTTTGTTTTGAAGGTTGATCGCCATCCTCAATTTAGACACTCAAGGTGCCTGTTTGTTGTAAGAACTGATGGTGTATGGATAGATTTCTCCTACCAGAAGTGTATTCGAGCATACATTCGAGATAAGTATCCATCTCAAGCAGAAAGATTCATCAGAGAACATTATAAACGTAGTAGTGGCTAATGTCTCTTTAAGGCTCCTAATCTTGATGCTTCTATTGAAGCTTGGCTACTATTTTGGTGTTCATCAGAGCCACCATGATGGGCCTAGTATGGTTTTCAAGAATAGACTCTTGAAACCATTTTGTTTTTTGTTTGGAAATGGTCCACACCCCCCACATAACTTTTTGTCAATGTAGTAGATGGCTAGTTTGACTGGCACTTTATGTTTATTTATTCCTTGGGACGAAGAAAATGATTGTAAGCCTACATTAATTTGTTGACTACCAACTCTCTTTTTGGTAGCTTTTGCTCGTAGTAATGCTGGTTGGGTGATTTTGTAATGTTTGGTACATTTTCTTTTCTATTCTATCTTTCCAACTGACAGAGTAAGTTTCAAGTAAAAGGCCAATATTAACATATTTGTTAATATGTTGCATTGTCAAAAGTTATAGTGTTGCATTTGTGTGTGGTCCATTGCGGTGAAAGTGATGATCAAACCAATGAGCACTACTAGTCTAGATGGTACAAGTCCTATCCTTCTCAAATAGGGGGAGTTAAGAGCATGGTTCGCCGTATCGGCCGATACATGACATATCGTCCGGTTTGTAATATTTTTTCAAGGATCTGATACCGTTGCACAGAACCGACCTGTTCGGTTGGTTTATAACGATATTTGTCCAAATTCGTTACACCGTCTGGGTGTGGATGAGATAAGTGTTATATGTAGATTTAACATTCTTTTATGATGGAACGCATTTTAAAGCTGTGATAGTTGTAAATTTATCGGAATGACCCCTCCGAAGTCTATGATCCAAATGAGTCAAAAATAAATAATAATTTGTTTGGACTGGACGAGAGTTGTTACGCCTAACCAGTGATTGTGACCATATGGCACCTTAATGACTTTTGGGCTGACCGACCGGCAATATGGGTCACATCAGATAGGGACAATTGAATGGGCATTTTGCTGACCTCCTCCTAATGGGAGTAAGACTTGTGGTACCACCACCATCACTACCTCAGGCTGGCTCATAGTCTGACTAAGTGATACGAGTTGTATGAGTCAAAAGGGTCAAGCTTTGCTGTTGTCAAGTTGGGTTTTTGTAGGGCTTTTGATTAGTCAAAACTGTGGAAGACCAACACTGGCCGACCATCAAACATCCACTTTAATGTTGTTAAAGTGGAAGTGCACATCTCACCAGTTATTCTCTCCATTAGTGCATTTTCATTTCCGGACTTGGAAAATTATATCCAACTTAAAAAGAATATGTAAGGAGAAAATTTTGGTATTTTCACTCTTGGTGTTATGTACAAATAGCAGTGTTGGTATGATCGTGTTCTAGTTCAATCAAGATTCTCTTACTAGGAAAAGTTAACTCACAAAATTGAACCGGATCAGGTCTGATCAGTTGTTGGAGACAAGCATATTCAATTAAGAAATAAAGTAAATTACATTGACTTCGTCTCCAAAGGCTTCGTCAATATGCACTAACTTATATTCTTGTTTGTTAAATTGCACTAACCTTTTATGTCAGACTTGTCAGGTTTGTAATTACAGTTTCGTGTTATATACATGTTGTATTTTATTGCAATGACCACGTCTTCCAATGATATAATTTAAATTTAAAAGTTATAAAATTGTTGATATTTTACCTTTCTAGGTTAAATATATACTCTCTCGGTCCGACAATAAGTTTTTCCTTTTGGGAATCTAACTTTATAAGAGAATTTTTATTTTATTTATATTTATATTTATATTTATATTTATTATTTAATTGTATTGATATTGAATGAATTACCTTTGGGGTACAAAGGTATGTAATGGTTAACTTTTTATAGCTTCAATGTAAGAAGATTAAATTGATAATTTTATAAAAAATAATACATTGACTTTTCAAATGTGACACTGACACTTATTTTGAGAGAGATAAAAATGAAAAGGTAGACACTTATTTTGGGACGGAAGGAGTATTTAATTATTTATTTTTTGATGTTTGGTAAAAGTCTACATTGAGATTGATGTTGGGTCCATTAAGTGGGTTGTCGAAAATTAATAGGTAATTTATTTTTGTTTAGTTTTACAGTAATATTTTTTTTTTCTTTGTAAAATTTTAGTATATATATATATATATTTAAAAAAATATTTTCATCCAAACACAAAGATTTAACAAATAAGAGAGATGACACATGTCACTATATATGCCGAAATTTTAGAAAAGATTGGTGTAATTTAACCTTGGTTTATATTTGATTTCATAAAATTGAAATTTGGTGAAATTGAAAAAAATAGCATAGGCTTGAAGTTTTTAAGGAGGAGTTACTTTCAATAATTACAAGCTACGAATTGAAAACTAGTTACCATCAGTAATGAAAAAGTTGTTTGTGTGAGCTATGCTTATAATTACATGGACCAACATGATCATTGAAGTCCAGAATATTTGATAGGCGGGCCCAAGCTTCCTTTAGTAAAAGAATTCATAATCCATGTGGGTCTCACAACATGTCCCAATGACTTTCCCAGTAATACACACACATGGCCTAATAATAATACCACAAGATTAAAAAAAAAAAAAAAAAAAAAAAAAAAAACTGTGACAAGAAATTACAGCATTGAAGCAACAATTACCTTTATGCTATGTTTGGATTACATGATCGGTTCCTTTGATTTGACAGTGGAAGAAATTTTAGTTAAAATCGATCGATTTTTGTCACGTTATTTTAATAATGCGTTTAGAAGTTTTGAATCGATGTTTAGTTTTGGAATTGAAATATTTTTACATTAAGTTTAAAATTTTGTACCATTACTTTAATTTAATGAGTTTAGAAGTCTTGAATTAGCGCTTTGAATTTAAAACTGAACTCTCTCATATATTTAATTTAAAATTAGAGGAAATTTAGTTCAAAACACACCCTTTAGAGTAGGGACTTCAATGAGTCTAATAAGGACTCTTGTTAACTTTTATAGAGGATATAACTTATTTTCTAGATATTTATTTTAATCATTAATTGTCACATTAGGTTTTATTGTCGGATAAAAGAAATCAGTCAATTATTTCATTTTTGAGGTTTGGACAAATGTCACTAAGTCTAATCTCATCATGATGTTAAGATATTAATGATATCACGATTTCATCACATAAATTAGTCACAACGACGTCAACTTTTAATCACATTGACCTAAGTGGAAGTAATAAATTTATTCACAAGTTAACGAAAGCGAGATAAATTTGTTCACAAAAAATAAGCAAGAGACAATAAATTCAAATAAATTTAATAATTGTATTGATAATCGAATATGTGATTTTGCTTTTTCCATTGCACGTGTTAATAATGAAAGAAGCAAAATAAAACTAAAGCAACTCGAAACTAACCTAATCTGGAAAGGGCAATAATATTTGAAAATAAGTCTAAAAATAAAAGTTTCTCTAAAATTATAAAAAAATAGAAAAAGAAACATAATAAAATAAAACTACTAAATAAAAAATCCGAACACAATACGAATTCGTTTAGATAACGAACAAAAATTTCGAAATATTTACAGGTTTCTTATAGGATAGAAAACCTGTTTAGAGGACCTAAACGATAGTATTTTGCAGATACATCGTCCCAACAAAGTCAAAAACTCTCATATTAGTTAAAAAAACGAATATTTCGGGATCAGCCCAGAAAATTTGTTATAAAGACTTCGACAATTAATTCAGCATCACATAAATCAATGAAAATTGTCTGAATCTCTAAATAATTTTCCTAATGTTATTAATCTTAAAAGATTAAGTGGACTAAGCAACGAAAAGAAATATAATTGTTTCATATAATGTCATTTGGAAATAATTTATTTTATTAATCCCTTTTCTTTCTATCTATCAATGTCTTGTGAGGTCTCTTGATAACTTTTCGTCTATGAAGCAACGACAGGACGATGATCAGAAGTTGAAAACAATTCCCTGAAGGGTTGTGATCCTTAAACGGAAAGAAGTTTGTTGGTCTTCAATATTGTGATTGAAATTTATTGGTGAGTGAGGCTACATAATTGAGATCTCATTTTGAATAATATAAATATAAAGATATATATATATATATATGTATATATATATATATAGAGATAAGAGAGTGGATGATCTCACTTTGACCGGAATGATGATACAGCAGATGTGGTTTGAAAGTGGAACTAAATATTAAGTGGGAATGATCACACTCAAAAGGCCAAAAAAGGATAACAGTTACTTGCTGTAAACCATTATACCACAACAATCACTGTATATATTCAAATCGAACCGGATCTTCTTCTGAACCGTTTCATCTTTGGTTGTCTATACATTACTTATGCAATAATTCATATTACTTACATTGCTCGTATAGTAACTACGTTAAATTACTTTTGCAAAAATTCACATTATAACTTTACATTGTTATCAATGAACCAGTGGCATAAAAATATCAAGTTCTTGCTTTTCAAGAGTATGTAAAGAGTTCAAATCTCAACGAAAACATATGTGCGTGAGTAATAAGACAGCTACATCATATTATATTATTTATCATATTATATTATTTAAGTGTTATATCTCTGTTGTACACACAGTACACTTGCACTACAATGTAGTAATTTATTGTGCTAGAATACAACACCGTACCAGATTATGTCCTTCCACAGGACGGGATCAAGGTTCATAATCAACACCATTCTCCCATTGGATTAAAATCCTTTCTTGCGAAACAATATCCTGTATTAGTTTAATTAGTGATGTGTTTTATAAAAATGTTGTAATATTCAACCTTACATTACAATATTTTGGTAACGTCCATCACTAATTAGAAGCATGGTTCGTTGTATCGTTCGATACGCGACAATTTTCAAGTTCGATACGAGACTCATATCGACTAGTTTACATTGATTTTGTCCGAGTCTGTTATACCGCGATCGCTAGGACTGCAAATAAACTGAGCCGAGTTCAAAAACTTGAGCTCAAGCTCGACTCGTTTGATAAAAATAATATATATATATATATATATATATATATATATATATATAAAACTTGTTCTCAAAATTAATTATTATTTTACAAAAAAAAAGAAAAAAAAAAATTTGGAACGTAAACTTATATTATAAATATAAGAATAATGTACATCACGCCCATAACATAGATAAGTCCAAATTAAATGATACAGCTCAAATAAGGCACCCCAGTGATGCTTTCAGCCTAAATAAGGCATAACGAGTCCGGACCTTGTTCACGAACCTTAAAGAATCTATGTTCACGAGCCTATATTAGTCGAACTTAATATTGTTTGGGCTCGACTCATTTACTAGACAGATTTAAAAATTAAACTTGAGCTCGAATTT